TACGGCATGCGGCCCTGCGCGCGAGTGGGGCTCACCACGACCAGGCTGCTTATTGTGCGCGCGAGGTTCAGACCAGGAATGGGTCGTTACCTGCTGATAGGACGGTGGAGTAGTTCGGCGCGAAGTCCACAGCAGAGGAGATCGAGCTGTGGAAAGCGATGGCTGCTGATTTGGATCGGGCTCCAGTGGGCCATCCCCCCTCCCTGGTGGACGCTGCGCGGAAGTGGGCGGGCTTGTCGTCGTCGCGGGCTTTGCTTGCTTCGCGTGCCTCCGTCGTGAAGTGGGTGAAGGAGCCCTGGTCACCCTTCCCCCCCCCTTTCACCGCCCTGGACGTCGACGCAGCGTTGCCAGTGCTGTCCGCGAAGAAGGCGACGGGGGTGGATGCGCTCAATCCCATGGATATTCAACGCCAGCCGCTAGTGGCGAGGCAGAGCAGGCTGGCGCCTGGCCGTCGCCCCTCAGCTCGGTGCTCGGCGCTGCGATTCCCAAGGAAGCTGGAGGCAACAGAGTCTTGGGGGTGGTCCCGACGCCGCGCAACATTTGGTCCAAGGTGCGTGCGAAGTGCTCATGCGAATCGTCTGCCGTCCCATCTGCTTTCTGGGGCGCTGCCACTGCTGGGTCGCCAGCGCTACGCGCTGCACTGTTCAGAGCTGTGATGGATGAAGGCGCCAGCGCCCTCTCCTTCGAGCACGCGACTCTGTTCTTGGATCTCACCAAGTTGTATGACTCGGTGTCTTTTGTGTTGTTCTTGCAGGCTCGCTTGAATATCCGTTTTCCTGCGATCATCATGTTAGGAAGTTGGACTCTATTCTTCGCCCAGGCTCCTGAAGAAAAGGCCAGATTATTTCGCATGCCTTGGTTGTCTCACGCTGCGTGGTAGCTTTGTCTGGACATGGAGTCACACTTGCAAAAGTTATGCTTCGTCAGTTATTGGGTGAGGTCCATCGCGCTTGTCCTCCGATTGGTCTGTAGAGTTAGATTGATGATCTCGTCGGTCGCGCAGAGGGCAAGAAGCATCAAGTGGTTGATACTTCGGGCGCCGCTGCCGATGCCATGGCCGCTGGGCTCAAGAAGCTCCAGCTGAAGATCTCTGCCCAAACGATGTTGGTTGCCACTTCTGACGAGATATGGTATGGAGTTACAGAGACGTCTGGTTCGCACAGGTATTCCTGTGCAGTTCGCGCGCTCCACCGTCGACTTGGGCTCTGACGCGGCTGCGGGGCGACGGAGGATTGCGCCGAGAATGATGAAGCGTCGCGCGCCGGCCCGACGGAAGCAACGCACGGTCGTGCGATTGCGGCAGCGTCCCCAGACCAGGTTCATCACCAAGAAGCTCTAATGCACTGGCGCGCTACCTGCAGCTGTTTTCGGCCCCTCCTTCTGCACTGTTGGTTTGGAGGCGTGATGCTGCAGCTCGTGTTGCTGGTGCCAAACGTGGCAGGTGTCTGAGCTCTGTCTTGTAAGCTGCGTTTGGAGCCTCCGGTCCTGGCAGTGACTTGAGGAAGCAAAAGGTAAAGGAGTGGATCGCTTCGTAGTTCCCTCAGCCGGCGCTCCGCCCTCGCATTCGCCAGATGTGGCCGATCACTCTTGCCAAGTTGCGCCGAGGAGCTGCTGAGCGGCAGATCGTGAAGTGGAAGGACGTTCGCGGCCCCACCGCCGCGGTGCAGGCCACTCTCCTGCAGATTGGTTGGGATCCACAGAGTCCTGATGCATGGTCACGACCTTTACCTGACGGCACGATTGACGATTGTTTCTGTTTCCCAGCTTGCGGGCAGTTTGCTGCCGCTGTAGCTCCGCACTTTGAAGATGTGCTTGGACCGTTCATAGATGATTGTATGCAGCTGCAGTGGAAGGAGGCGGCCCACCACGAGGCTGGCGAGGGCTTGGCAGCAGGCGTTGACATGTAGACGGTGCAGACTGAGCTGAAACGCCCCCCTGCCCAGTCCAAGTTCGACGAGTGGGCCGCCGACATTGCCGTCATCTCTGGGGGCCAGTGGACTCGTGAGCGGCAGATCGCCGCAGGATACGCCTGCTCGCCGCTGTGCCCCCGATGTAAAGAGCAGACTGACACGTTAGCGCGCCGCGTTTGGTTATGCCCAGCCACAGGGGCGCCCCTTCGAAGGGCCTCGCGGTGCCCAGGTTTGTCGAGACTTCGGAGACGGCTCAGGATGTCCTCCTTGGGGAAGGTTGAATTTCGGACTTTTGTTCGGAGCCTGGAGGCCCCCCCAACTTTCATCTTCGGAGATGGATCTGGAGGAGTATAGTTCGGATCCCAGACGTAGGCGATGCGGCTCGGCGGCAGCACTGATGCGCCAGGACCCCTTCTCGCCGAACCTCTGGGTGCCTCAGTGCGGGGCAGGGCAGGTTCTGTCGGGCCGTCGCCGGACCGCCCCCAGAGCTGAGCTTCAGGCGTTCTTGCAACATTACCGGCTGCAAGAGTTTTGTTTCGGATTGGCACGGTGGCCGCGTTTCCTCTCCCCGGGGCCCGAACGGGGACTTCTGGGTCCGGGCGGCTCGTGCGCAACGCAACCGCGGCCCTGGAGGTGTTTCGATTTGGTGGGCCCCCTTCCCACGCGGAAGACAAGTTGCAGCCGGTCGCGGCGCTGTTTGAAATGTTTATGTGCCAGGGCAACGCCGGCGCCGACGTCTACGCGGGGGCGGTGGCCCAGTGGGCCTGGGAGCTGCGCGTTGCCCCCCCCCCCCCCCCCCCTCGGACTGACCTGTGGGATGCGACGGCGGCGCTGTTGAGGAAAATGGCTAGGAGGGCGATGCTGCCGGCGCTCGAGGTTGAACCTTGGGAAGGCGTCAGAGCCCCGCCTGTCCCCAAAGCCCGCGAGCCCACGAAATTCGACCAGGCGATCCGCCAGTGTGCGCGCAAGTATCGCCCGTTCGCTGGTCGCTGGCGCTGCGAGGCTTGTAAAGTCATTGTCCCGAAGAGCCAAGTCATCAGTCGCCTCGGCCCAGCGTCGCGTTTCGTTCCCGCCGCCGTTGTCGGCGTCTGCTATCGCGCTGGGTCTGATGCCTGAATTTGGAGAGGGTTTTGAGGCGATCTCGGGAGATGTGTGGCGTGGCGCCGTGGAGCTTGGCCCCAGCCACCGCCTCGCCAGAATGAGGAAATTCGGCTTGACATTTTGTCGGAGGTGTGGTTTCACTGCCACGACAGACGGTCGCTGGCTTCAGAATGTGCGCGCCCCCCCCCCCCCCACCAACAGGGGGGGCGAGCATCTCGGGCGAATTCGGAAGGGTGCTTTTCCGCTCTATCGGGGCCCACCCGTGGCCTTGCGAGAGGCGGCGGCTCAGGGCGCTGTCGTGGGGGCCCTCCCGCCACCCCCGCGCGGAGCTGCCGAGGTTTGGAGCGGCGCCCCTTTGCGGGGGGACTCTGTGATTGATGAGTATATGGTTTGCTCCTCCAGCCGCCCCGCTGAAGAGCTTGCCGACCTGATGCAGCTGCGCGAGGACCGTGCCCGCGCCCCGCCCGCGGGCGAGGAGGCTGCTGCCGCCTGTGCCGCCGCCGCTGGCAAGGCCCAGGGTCAGGGGCTTACTGGGCTCGCTGGTGTTCTTTTGTGCAGAGGTCGGGCGGCGGTGGTGGCGAGAGCGGCGACAGTGACTGAGGGGGAAGCCGCGTGTGTGGCATCGCAGCAGGATCCGGCAGAATCCTGGCCCGTCTGACGCCGTTGGGAGCTCTCTTGGGAACCTCTCTGGGCCGTATTGGGGCACTACTGAGGCGCCCCAGGGCCGTCTAGGAGGCCATCTTAGGCGTCTTGGAAGCCTCTTTGGCCGCCTTGTGGCTCTCTTGGGGCCGCGTTCGGGCCCTCTTGGGCCGTTATGGGGCCATCTTGGAGGCCTCTTGGGCGATCTTAGGGCGATCTTTGGAGTTTTCTGGACCGCCGGAAGGCCGAAAAGAAGCACGTGCCCAACTTCAAAACCATATGATTATCGCTAACTTTGGCCTCTTCGGGCTTTCCTAGAGGACCAGCCGTTTTGGAGGCCTCTTGGATGCTTCTTGGGCCGTCTTGGGTTCTTTTGGACCATCTGAGCGGTTTTGGAGACATCTTCTGATTTTTTTGGAAACCATCTTGAGCCTATCTTGGGCTCTCTTGGGGCCATCCGTCTTGGCCGTATGGGAGGCCATCTTGGCCGTCTTGGAGGCCATCTTCAGCGGACAAAACGACGGGAGACGCGACCAGGCAGGTTCCTTGTGGCCAGCGCGCTGGGCCGAAACCCCAGGGAGAGTTCTAAAAGGGCGGGCAACCACCCGAAACTCAGCACACAAGGCGCCCCTGTGGCAAGACCGCAGGGGGCGGCGGACTCCTGTGGCCGTCGGCCCATCCCGCCACCGTGCCTGGGTTTTTGGTCAGAGGCCTCATGGATGCCTGCGGGGGTCTGTTGGGAAGCCTCTCCGTAGCCTCTTGGAGGCGGTTTGCTGATATCTGTGAGCATCTGGGGAGCCTCCTGGGGCCTCGTTTTGTCGTTTGGTCGTCTCGGGAGCCTTCTGTGGGTGCTTGGGCACCCCTCGGGTGTCCTGTTGGCGGTCTCGGGATTCATTTTGGGGGGGGAGGGCTCGAAATTTCAGTTCGGGTTCCCCCCTGGGGGCCGTCTTGGGGCCGTACGGGGGGGGGAGCCTCGTGGGCTGTCTTGGAGCGCCGGAAGCACGAAAAGGCGAGAAAGCTGAACTTATTGAACAATTGGATGTTTGCCTCTTGGGGCCGTTTTGGGGGCCTCTTGGAGTCCTCGTGGGGCTTGCTGTCGGCCCCTTGGGCCGTCTTCAGATCAGATCGGGCGTCTTGGAAAGCTCGTGTGCCGTCCCGGGGCCTGTTAGAGCGTCTTGGGAGCCTGTTTGGGCCCGCTTGGGCTGTCTTGGGGCTCCCGTACCTCCAGAAAAGTCCAGCGGGGACACGCGACAGCACCCAAGTACCGCCCATTAGCGCCAAGAACTCTGAGCTGTGGACCCCTTCGAGAGTATTTCAATAGTTCAAGCCGGGGCAGCCAAGGAGCCTGAG